TTTTTTTTTTTTTTTTTTTTTTTTTTTTTTTTTTTTTTTTTTTTTTTTTTTTTTTTTTTCAAGTCTGTTGGAACGTCTTTTGTTGATTTGGGAATGCGGGAAGAATAGGTTGAAAGTGTAGTAATTCTGTAATATGCCGATTCAATAGTTAAATGTTCTGATGTGCGATCCCGGTGGATTTTGAATCGTTTGCATGATTTAATTACTATGCTTTATCTGTGCGAATGGAAAATTGGGGCAAACCATAACTAACGACGATTTATTCCCTGATCAAGCGTTAATCTAGAATGTGGAACTTAATAATTTTTGCTGAAATGCCATTTGTTTAATATTTGATTCGGCATCTTTTGGAAATTTAACTTTTTGGCTGAAAGTCTGGGTCGATTGCCGTATTGCACACACTGTACCTTCGTTTATGTGGATTGCTTGGCTAGGTTCTCTAGGATTATAACTATTGACACCTACATTTCTTGAATTCGCGGAGGTGAACGGTTTCTAATCTTACACATTTTGGGTGTAATCGATGATAGATGACAAATCATTAATTGCCAATGGGTGGTTATCTCAATTTTAATGATGCATCTTGGCTGGTGTATGCCAAGCAACCTCACTCAGACAGTGTCCGTGTGCATCTTGCTGCTCTTTTTGTGATGTCTATATCTGTTTAGGTTGGACACTATAATGCTTTTCTCCTTCGCTTTATTGCACATAGACATAAAACTGTCTTTCTCTTATCCTGTTCTTCCTCTTTTGCTCCCTTTTTTAGCCAACATATCATATCTACTTCTTATTCGTCTTCTTTTGCCTTTTTGCCTTTTTGTTTTTTCTCTTGTGTCAATTTGTGTACGATCAATCTTATAGATTGTTATGTCGTTTACTCAAAAGATGTATTTTCTCATCTCACTTGTCCCAGGCGTTATTTTCATATTGCTCTTAGTCTCCAAAGAACTTTTGTTAACATATTCCTTTTGGTCTTTTGATCACTGAATTGTGGTTTACCTCCTTATGACTTGACCTTATCGTGTTGTATTCCCAACGTATCCCCGAGAACCAGGCTATGCTATAGTAGATATTACACACTTTTTTGAGATATTCCCAAGAACTCGGCTATGCCATATAGTGAATATTACACTCATTTTCGAGCCATCTTAAGTTAGGAATGATCAAAAGCAGCTAAACTATGTCACCCAGTTTCTACTATTAATTTTTCTGTCACTTCCAAGCAGCATCTCTTCCCTACTATACTTCAATTATAGCTTGGCTGAAATGTTGCTGCAATTATTGGGTTTTCCGCTATTTATCTGCAGGTGAGCCCTGATGGTCATTTCCAGAAAGATTTGGGTTTAGACAGCTTGGACACTGTGGAGATTGTAATGGCCCTGGAAGAGGAGTTCAAGCTAGAGATTCCAGACAAGGAGGCTGATAAAATCGATTCCTGTAATCTTGCAATCGAGTACGTATACAACCATCCAATGGCTAGTTGACAAAGTACTAGCATCTTTCTCTTTATTTCTTTTTTGGTTTTTTGGAGTATGTTATCGAGCCAATGAATATTCATCTCTACATCGTTGTTTCGACCCTTCTTGGATGCTTGTCAAGAGTCGTGTTCTTCACACCGTGATGAAAAATAATTGCAACTGCCTGGAACATAATCATTGTGTCCAGACAAATTTTCAGGGCGTACAATGGTTCTAACTTTAAGCACTTGCTTGCTATGCATCTTAATATCTGTGGCATCTTTTTCATAGGTAATCAGATTGTTTGATTTCAAAGTTTGATCTTCTCTTCTAAATTGCTTTTATTCAGAATAGACTGGTTCTACCTTAAGCTGTTGATACTTGGTAGGTTTTTTACTTAGGGATCTCAAGGAGATATTGTTTGTCTTCAAAGTTCTGATATAAATGTGACCATTTTTCCTTGTGATTTTTTGATACTCTATAGATTTTGCATAGTTCGAGTCAAAGAAGAGATCATTTGCCTTCGAGCTTTGATCTTCGATCTTCTCCGCTAGTGTAGTCTATGAGTTTTCATGTTTGTGTATAATAGGTCCCTGAACAGTTGGAAGTGTCTAATAGATCTTTGAAATTTTAATATTGTATCTAATAAGATTACGAACTTTAAATGAATTTAATAAGTCCTTAAACTTTATAAGTTTGATCTTCTCTACGCATTGCTTTTACCTTTAAGCTGTTGATACTTGTAGCCTTTTAGATTAGGGATTTCAAGGAGATATTGTTTTTCTTCAAAGTTCTGATATGAATGTGGCCATTTTGCCTCGGTTTTATTCTTTTTATACTCAATAGATTTGCATAGTTCAAGTCGAACCAGAGATCATTTGCCTTCGAGCTTCGATCTTCTCTGCTAGTGTAGTCCATGAATTTTAATGTTGGTGTATAATAGGTTTCTGAATTGTTGATATTTAAAATGTTTATCATAGATTGATAGTTGAAGAAAAGATTTTGCTTGGAATAAGCCTTATCACATGAATTAATTCTCTTGTAATGATTGATTGATAACTGGATGATGCTTGCTTGAAATGCTTCGCCTGTTCATTTTGTATCAAATTTGTGAAAACTTATGCCAATGCTTTAAATATTTAACCTATAAATTTATGACCAACCATTTCGGGATTTAATTGAAAAATTACCAAATATTGGGGACATTTTAATAATTAAATAAGTTATGGATTTAAACATATATTTAAACCATATAAATAAAAACTCTAATAAACAGAACACCCTTAAATTGTAACCTTATATTCTTAGATTATCTATTTTTACCCTATAGTTTTAAAATCATTCTAAATATATGTTTTTTATTATTTAAAACCACATAGAAGTTTGTAATTGTTATTACCATTTACGATATTGTTAAAATAATTTACCTAATCAATTTTACAAAATAATAATAATAAATAAATGAAAATTTCATTTTAACTACAAATTTTTGTTAAAATAATTTATATAATCAATTTTTATACCTTAACTACTCAATTTATGCGAATAATATTGTAAATAAAATCGCATATTTCTTATGATTCTTTTTCATTTTAATTATATGAGAATTTATTTTAACAAAAGATTTTATATAATAATTTACATAATTATTTTTTTCATTTTAATTATATGAGAATTTATAGAAATAATGTTTAAATAATGTCGCATATTTAGTTCATCTTTTAAAATAATTAATTTTTAAGGAAAAATTAAAGTTTAAGAGCCAAATGAATATTTATATAATTTATAAATATATTTTATTTTTTAAAAAACCCTGTTGGGTCGAAGCGTAGCCTCCAAAAAAGAAATGAAAACCCACTGGTCACTGGCAAGGCAACTTCCAAAAATGCAAGAGGCAGGCAGCAACAGATAAGGGAAGAAGGTAAACTCAGCGCCAGCCTACACCCTAAACCCATTTCATTCTGAGCTTCCAAGAAAAACGAGAAACGCATCAATGGCGCACCTCAGAACCGCCATGGATTCCGCCTTCTGGAATTTCGACGTTTCTTCCTCTCAAACCCTCGTCGGAACTGCCAAGGCTGTCCCCGGCGAACCATTCCCTCTCGACGGAGCTCGAGCCAGCCGCACCTTGCGGATTCAGCAAGTCTCCTTCCTCGGCAATGGATTTCCCCTCGGAATTCTTCCTTCCTTCTCCCCCACTGCACACAAGGAGTTAGGTTCCTTTTCTCTTCAGTCGCTCTTGCTCAAGTTTCCCGCCGCCGACTGGTAAGTAGCAATGGCACATTCTTCTTCTCTTCGGTTTATTGAGCTTTGTGATCCTAAATTCCTAGGTTATGGCTGCTTCTTTCTTTATGCTTCCAGCATTTCATTTTTCGGACTGTTCAGTGAATTTCTTGACGGTAGAGATGAATCAAATGTTTGATTGACTGGATTAATTATTCCTACAGTCATTACTCTACTAAGAATCTCAGATTACCAACTCATTCTGAACATACCGACAGGACTCACTTTTAATTTAGGATGATTAGAAAGTGCTCCCCTGTATCCCAAACCACCAGATTTAGCTTACGAAAACCATAATCCCGTATGATACTACCTAGTTTACATACTCACCTTTAGTTTTATTCTCCTAACTTCAACTTAGGTACCTCAATTGGTTAAGGTATCTACAAATTTAACCCTCCACTCAAAGCGTTACGGTTGCCAGCGTAGATATAGCTCAATTGGTTAAAGTATCTACAAACTTAACCCCCCACTCAAAGCATTACGGTTGCTAACAGGGAATAGCTCAACTGATTAAGGTATCTACAAATTTAACCCCCCCTCAAAGCGTTATGGTTTCTAACGTGGGTATAGCTCAACTGGTTAAGGTATCTACAAATTTAACCCTCCACTCAAAGCGTTACGGTTGCCAGCGTAGATATAGCTCAATTGGTTAAAGTATCTACAAACTTAACCCCCCACTCAAAGCATTACGGTTGCTAACAGGGAATAGCTCAACTGATTAAGGTATCTACAAATTTAACCCCCCCTCAAAGCGTTATGGTTTCTAACGTGGGTATAGCTCAACTGGTTAAGGTATCTACAAATTTAACCCTCCACTCAAAGCGTTACGGTTGCCAGCGTAGATATAGCTCAATTGGTTAAAGTATCTACAAACTTAACCCCCCACTCAAAGCATTACGGTTGCTAACAGGGAATAGCTCAACTGATTAAGGTATCTACAAATTTAACCCCCCCTCAAAGCGTTATGGTTTCTAACGTGGGTATAGCTCAACTGGTTAAGGTATCTACAAATTTAACCCTCCACTCAAAGCGTTACGGTTGCCAGCGTAGATATAGCTCAATTGGTTAAAGTATCTACAAACTTAACCCCCCACTCAAAGCATTACGGTTGCTAACAGGGAATAGCTCAACTGATTAAGGTATCTACAAATTTAACCCCCCCTCAAAGCGTTATGGTTTCTAACGTGGGTATAGCTCAACTGGTTAAGGTATCTACAAATTTAACCC